TCTTTTTATATTTGTCGAGTAAGATGAATCTTCTAGGTCCTTGATACGAGCACCTCTCGTATCTTCACCAAATCTCCACTTTTCATATTTAAATAAAACCTCATGCCACATCATCCTCTACTTTATGCTTTTTGAACCGTGTAACACATGAATAAAAACACTCCTCTTTCAGACTTCTGTCTTCAAGAATCAGGATTGAGGAGAAGAAAATGGAGATAACACTGAACAGTGGTTTCAAGATGCCGATCGTGGGATTAGGAGTTTGGAGAATGGAGAAGGAAGGGATTCGGGACCTTATCATCAATGCCATCAAGATCGGTTATCGCCATCTCGACTGTGCTGGTACTATGTATTATTATTATCTCTATTGTTATTTGCTTCGGGTTGGTCCAGAGATTTGAATATATTGTTGGGTTTGGGGAAAGCTGGGATTTTTATTGGAATATTAATGTCTTAGATTTGGGTTATCACGACTGGTGCAGCTGATTATAGGAACGAGGCCGAAGTTGGTGAGGCTCTTACAGAAGCTTTCAAGACGGGTCTAGTCAAGAGGGAGGACCTCTTCGTTACAACCAAGGTCCAAACGGATTCTGAGAAACTACGTAGCTAGGATCTGGATCTAATGAAATGTGAGAAAGCTCTCGGTTCTGATCTGCCTTAGTATTGTTGCAGCTATGGAATTCAGACCATGGCCATGTTATTGAGGCATGCAAGGACAGTCTCAAGAAACTTCAACTTGATTATCTCGACTTTTTCCTCGTTCATTTACCTGTAGCCACTAGGCACACCGGTGAGATCTCTGCCTTATTAGTCTTGAGTAGAGACCATTGTATATATTATGAGTCCGCCTTTTCAACCGGCTACAATCATGTTTCTGAAAGTCTCTAGCAACTGGTAGACGTAAATATAATAAGCTGTAACATGTAAGCCTTCCACTTTCTATATGTGCTTGCAGGAGTTGGAACAACCGATAGTGCTTTGGGCGAAGATGGCGTATTGGACATTGATACGACTATTTCTCTGGAAACTACATGGCATGACATGGAAAAGCTTGTTTCTATGGGTTTGGTCCGCAGCATTGGAATCAGGTATTATTATAAGCTACCCACTAAAGAAAATCATCTTAAATCATATCGAGTTTCGGATTTTGTATCCGAAAATACAATGTATCCTTCCAAGTTCTTTTCAATATCTATACAAGTCGTTTTGTGTAGTCACTGTTATCTGATTTTTTTTACCATTTCGTTCTTACAGTAACTATGACGTCTTTCTAACGAGAGATTGCTTGGCTTACTCCAAGATCAAGCCTGCAGTGAATCAGATCGAGACACATCCTTACTTCCAACGCGAYTCTCTTGTCAAATTCTGCCAGAAGCACGGWATYTGTGTCACCGCYCACACTCCTCTCGGAGGTGCCACAGCCAACGCCGAGTGGTTTGGTACCGTGTCATGYCTGGATGACCCAGTTCTCAAAGTAAGCCCATCCTCTACTAAAGCTTAACGTTTGACAGTTAATAGAGGACTATGTTTATCTGAACYCTTCTTCTGTTCTTGATACGCATACAKGAAGTGGCGGAGAAGTACAAAARGACRGTGGCACAGGTTGTCCTGAGGTGGGGAATCCAGAGGAACACAGTTGTGATACCAAAGACATCAAAGCCTGAGAGATTGGAAGAGAATTTTAAGGTTTTTGACTTGGAACTGACGAAAAAGGACATGGAAGTGATCAAAAGCATGGACAGAAAGTACCGTACGCACCAAACAGCCAAGTTTTGGGGCATTGAACTCTACGCCTGATCAAGAGAAGAAGCCAAAAGCTTTTACTCGGACAATCTCAAATGTTGTGAAATAAACTCATGTCAAACAGATTGTGACTATTTTCGTTAGTCCAATATCGCAATTTCACGAGAAAATTAATATACTCTCTCTTGGCTATTATTTCTTAAACCTGTCGACAAAGAAAGAGTAAACTGGAAAAGACGAGAATGACCTTGATCATTGTTCTGGTTAAGTAGTATTTGAGTCGAGGGTATTTTGGTCAATGCCAAATTAAAGTATTGAGCTCTTCTCTGCTTGTTCCCTTGTCATTCGTCTTCAGACACTATCTTTGTCCTTAGATCTTCTTTCTCAATACATCCATTGCTCATTTCTTCCACGAAATTCGTAAGCTTTCGCGCCTTTTTCTCATCTTCGTTCTTGTCTGTTTGATTTTTCAATTCATCGAATATTGCTTCCCTTTTTCAAAGTGTTTCTCTCTTAGGGTTTGTATTTTCAATTTTCGTGAGGAATTTTAGTTTGATTCGACCTAATCTACTCTGTTCTATGTTTTTTTCCCCCGTAATTGCTCTTTTGAATCTGTTTCCTGACGAGTTTAGATTGATTTTGATATACGGAACCCTAGATTTGATTATGATACGAGAATTTTGAATCAGAAATTTCTCTTTAAATTGAGAATTCTGGAGGG